AGGGGTCTCTGACAGCCACTGTTATTCCTGTTTACCAGGAGGGTGGGAGGAAAGATGCAGGAACCTGCAGGCCTGTTAGACCAAACTCAGTTCCTGGAAAAATTATGGAGAAGGTTGTACTGAGTCCTGTTGAAAGGTGTTTAAAGAACAATGCAGTCATCAACATGGGACACAAAGGGAAAGTCCCATTTAATTAATTAGATCTTTCTGTAGTAATGCCACCCACCTGGTGGGGAAGGGAAGGTGGTGAATGTGGTTTTTCTGCATTTTAGTGAGATTTTTTGGTACTGTCCCTCACAGTATCCCTCTGGACAAGTTGTCCAGCTGTGGGATGAGGGGGTTCATGGTGTGCTGGGTGAGGAGCTGGCTGCAGGGCAGGGCGCCCAGGGTTCCAATGAGTGGGGTTGTATTTGGCTGCTGAGCAGTCACCAGTGCTGTCCTCAGGGCACAATTCTAGGGCTGCTCAACATATTTATCAAACGTATGGGTGCAGGAGTTGAAAGAATACTGGGTGCAATTCTGGGCCTCACAATTGAAGACGGATGTGAAGGTCTTTGAATGCCTGTAGAGGAAGGCAAGGAAGCTGGTAAAAGGGCTGCAAGACCTGTCCTGTAAGGAGCAGCTGAGGGCTTTGAGCTTATCTAGATTAGAGAAAAGGAGGCTGAGGAGTGACCTCATTGTTCTCCTCGGCATCCTCCTTTCCTTTCTTTCCAGTGGGTGAAATGCAGAGGGAGGGGGTGATCTCTATTCTCTGGTGTCCAGGGGTATGATGAGTGGGAATTGTTCAAAGCTGCCTCAGGGGAGGTTTGGGCTTGATATGAGGAAGCATTTCTTTACTGACAGGGGGTCCAAACACTGGAATAGGCTTCCTGGAGAGGTGATCAGTGCCCCAAGGCCTTCTGCGTTTGAGACATCTGGACAATACTCAGTAGTATACTTTAACTTTTGGTGAGGCATGAGGTGGTGAGGTAGATGGATGAGGTTAGTTGTAGGTCCCTTCTAAGTAAATTTCGATTCCCCTCTATCATTTTCCTGACCACATCTGGATTCCCAAGGCAAGCCTTAGGAGTTCAACTACTGTGATGGTCTGTGCTTAAGTTTTGGGGTGTACAAGGATGTGAATGCCCCTCACAACGATTTGTCTTCAGTTGTCATTTAGCTGCTCAGTGAAGCACAGGAGTGGCTGTGTTTCTTGTTTGCATGTCTGTGATCTGCTGTTCTTGCCAGTTAAGGAGTTGTTGCTTTACCTTTCACAGAGCCGAGCCCAGTTCATAATGTCACAGCAGAGTCCATTGGTGTGAGTTCTGTCAAGTTAAAATGGGAGGTGAATGACAGCGCTTC